AGACAGATTAAGTAACTAACTCATCAGGTTTTACAGACAAAGAAACAATTTGAAGAGATCACCTTATGACGCTTTAAAGACTATGAATTAATCAGTTAATCAAATAACTAATAATAATAATAATAATAACTGACCTGCAACATCACCACATACAAGCTTTAAGCAATGAGTGAACTGTTACCATCACTGATAGTAATGATGCCCAAAAAAAACAAAAATGAGTAAAAATAAAAAAGGAATTTTCCCTACTGACGTTCAACTGAGGTTGAAATATTCATTAAGAGGTTTTCACATATGCAGATTATCTTCACATCTGTCAGAGAGATGAATAAGGTTCTCCATTGGAGACAGGTTAAGACTTGGTAATGACTTGTAAGGTCCTCACAAGTCATGAATATGTATGTGTTTGTGTGTATATGTACATGAGTTGGCAGCAACCTGCATGTCACCAGCTTGGCACGGCTTGGCAGAGCCTTGAAACCTGCATTAAAATCCAACTAAAAATACTTCCTGCCTGCTTCAGCCATCAGAGACGGCAACAGGGGAATTCATCCTGCAATGAGCCCATAATAATCTCTGCTATTTTCTTTCACGCTGCACCTTAAGCCACCCACACACCGTCCTCAGTCAGCATCCATCTATTCTTCCAGTATGTTAATACGGGAAAGCAGCGACAAAAACGTCAATTTAGCAAAGAGGGGAAGAGAGAGACTGGATGTGTCCTCTGTAGAGGCTGGAAATGTACGTGCCCGTTGATTTCCCCTCAGCCCGTCTCTCCCCTGCTCACTGCTGCTCTGCAGCAACAGAAATCTCAACCCCAGCGGGATCTCATCGAATCCATCAGCGACCGGCAGTGAGAGGCCGGAGGCAGAGAGACACCTGAACCAAGACGCAGCGCCGCTCCAGACACCTACTACAGCATTGACAATACTACACGCCATTCACTCTGGTGGAGGACACAGTCGGCCAGCAGCAGGAGAGACGTGAACACACACCAAAACACGCTGTGGAGGAGGTATAACACTAACAATAATATATAGAAATATAATACAAATAGTTTAAGCTCATGTCAGGTTACAGCTCGATAAAATAATTTATTTTCTTGGCACGCTTTGTTTATTCACTTAATAATGTTTTCTGTCACTTAAAAGAAGTTATGTGTCCCAGGAGGGCCATTACGCCTTAAAGTCCTTCACGGACGGTTACACAGTGTTCCAGGTTGTAATTTACCAGAATTTAACAACATACAGAGCCATGGGAAATATTTGTCTGTGGCTGGCTGGAAGTTGTTTAAAAAAAGTACATCAGGAAACATTTCTTGGCAACAGTTTAACTACTTTTCTACATCCTTGACCAAGTTACATTAAACTGCAGGTAACCATAGCAACAATGCTCATATGTCACACAAACTCACCGGATAACTTACATGAATTAACAAGTTAATCAAATTAATTTAAAGCCCCTACAAGGAACTTTTATTTTGTGTTGATTGTGGCGCCCCCTGTGGACAATAACGGTCTAACAACTTGTTTCATTGATTTTTTGAAGTGGAATCCAGCATTAAGAATAACTAGCCAGTATCCTCGCTGATGTCTTGTTTGTTTATATTGGTCATATAGAGGCCTCAGTATTAAATTTAGATACATTTTAGTTACAAACTAAAGACTAATGTCTTTAAATTGTTTATTTTGTCCAACAAACCGAAGAAACCGGAATATACGCAAGTTACAATCTAAAAACGGGTTGGTACCACCAAATAATACATAATAAATTACTTAAATGAGGATTAATCAATTAAAATTGTTTCAATAAAACTGTTTTATGGGTTACTTCACAGTCTATCAGTGTGGGTGATTGGATCATTGGTTGATATAAAATAATCCTTAAAATACAACCTACTTCAATCCAGTTTTTAAGGGGAAATCTTTTACTGCTACATTTTTCTTTTAAAGTTAGTAGTCTGTATATCAAAGTTTTAGTGTTCTGGTCTAACTGTTGTTCAGGACCAGAATAACATGCTGAGGGAGGTGTGGAAGGATTTTTTTGGCATGAAAAATGAATAGATGTTGAAAATTCAGCTGCTGGCAGCTTAAATACTGGTATTATTATTATTATTATTATTACTGGCATTGAAAAACTCATGTGATTAAGCCCCCACTTGGCAGACACACATACACACGCACACACACACACACACACACACACACACACACACAATACAATAATGGAAGTCTGCGCACAGACACACACCCACATTGTGTGTGTTCACTAGCATGTGCACGGCGATACACATTTCTATAAACAAAATACAAACACCCACTCATGAAAAGATTAAATGTTCAAACATGAAAACTGAGAAATGTACGAGTGAATTAGCAGATATTTGTTCTTTTTTCATTTTGCGTTCAATAGATTCTTCTGCTCAGGCTGAAGTCTAATTAATTCAGAGGGAAATCAAGTGGAAAATCACCGTTAATGGACTTCAGGCCATATTGATAAATCTCCTCGATATCTGACGGGTGTAAATGGCCGTGAAAAATACTCAGAGCAGAGCCTGATCCCTCGTAGAGCATCACCCAGAAACTGAACAACAGGTTCAGGATCTAGAAACTCTCATTCACAGAGGCATATGCACCCAACAACAGCTGTTTACTCAAACTAAACACTAAACCTAAAAAGATTCTCTGTGAAAGCTTGAGAGAAAAAAGAGCAGTTATTTCCCCTCAAACACCAGGAAAACATAATCAATATCCACTTTTGTTTTTTTTAAATCATGACCACAATCTAATAATCATTACATTTGGTCCTAATTGATCCTACGTGCTAGCAGATCATGATGGTATTGACTTGTAAAGAGGGTTAGGGTTAAAACTTCAATAATTAATTTAAAGCTATTATAGCAAGGCCTATACTGAAATTAGCCAGAAATTATAATTACTCTCCACTTTCACTAGCAAAATGCCGTCCATTACCTCAGGCAGAGTGAAAAACAGAACACTATCAATTATTAATCAATAAGCGGTATGAGCTTATTAATGGCACCTGCTGTTGAGTCGCATACAACAGCAAGACACAGAGCCACAGTAGCAGCTTTGTGAGGCTGTACAGTAGTGCTTTGAGCTGCATCGCTGACCCATGAAACCATGAAAGTACCTGATGGTGAGGGTAAAGATTAAAATGTTCACGATCACTTAAGTTATTACAGTTAATCCTTATAAGGATACAAACTGCGATCCATCCAACAGTTGTGGGGAAATTTTACTCAAAATCCAAAAACAAAGTCCTGCAGGAACCCCAGGAGGTAGACCGAGAATCAGAAGGTTGCACGTCCTTGAGCAGGACGCTGAACTTCAAATTGCTCCAGATGCTGATGCATCGGTGTGTGAATGTGGCATGTAGTGTGAAGCACTTTGAGTGGTTGGAATACTATATGAGTATGAGTCAGGGGAGCACCAAGGTCATTAGGATACATTGTATAGCAACCATCAATGTCTGCACAGAATTTCCTGCTAATCTGCCCATCAGTTGTCAACCAAAGCAGTGGACTGAACAGATGACCTGCCTTGCCCTTCACCCATAGCATCCCATCAACTCCCAGTATGTGTAATCCCCAAGCCCAAAAATCTATTTGTCTCCAAAAACCTCTTGTGTTTATACATCTCTAATTAAAAACTCCCTACTCCATTTCTTCCAGCGGAAAACGTTCTCTCGCTTTCAACCAACAAACCTTTTTCTTCCAAAACACAGTCAAATAGCCTCACAGAAGCAAACCTCACTCTCAGGTTTTCCTACGAGATACCTGTCTAAAGGACCCAATTTACAGCTGGTATTACGGTAACATGTGATCTGTTATCTGGATATTGACATCTGATCACAGGCCTTTGCATTTACACTGTATTAATGAGTATGTGGCCACTCTACGATGTCATTTATACCAGTGACCAGTGCAGACCAGGGTCTTGATTAACTACATTGATCTATCTGACCATCCATAAGCTGCACCAGCTCTGCCTCCTTGGACTGCATTTGGGTCCAACCTCTTCTCCTTGTGTTTATCCTGCTTAACAATTGTGACACTGGTGCATTCTGCATGAATTCACACCAACATTTGTCCTGATCAGGGTAAGATATCACATGTTAATACCAGGTGTAAATGGGGTCACAAACACCCGCTGACACTCAGCTGAGCCCAGCAGTTGGAAGCCGGACCAATCAGCAAACTGCAGGAAACATAATGACATAATGACATGATAATTCATCCCCTCTTGAGACTACTTACAGTCATCTAGGCACTCTACATAGAAAATGAAGCTTAATTCTGCAACGTCATGACCTCAGACTCATTCAGAAGCTGACTGTTATAGATAATTTGATCTTAGTTGAGAACTGAAATGGTTTTCCAGAACCGTTGCCGTGTCTGATGATAGCTAGAAATGTGAAGATAAAAACATATCTTCCTTTAAAAGATCCAGTGTGTAACATCTGGGAGGCTCTATCAGCAGCAACATAATAGTCATAGGTATGTTTTCATTAGTGTATAGTCACCTGAATATAGTCTATCTATGTTTTACGTTCGGGTCACCTTCCATGGAGTCCGCACACACAAAAAAGTGGTTATAGATAGGGGTCTTTCGAGTTTTTCTCACAACTAACGTAGTTTCTCCTTCACACTTAGAAGGGCAGGGTGAAGAGACGCTGAATCCCGCTTTCTGCAAAGACCAGGCCTACCATACCCTGTCCCTGATTGGCTAGTATTTGTTGCCATGTTTGGTTTAGGCAAGATATTAAGGGTTAGGAAAAAAATTAAAACAGCGCTGAAAATTGATATAAATGGCAAAGAATTAGGGTTTGGGTATGTTGGGATTAGGGTTCAGGGTAGGTTTGTGCTGAAATAGGGTACTGGTACCTTTTTTGGTTTCATTCAGGCACTGGTCATTGCCACTTGAATATTTTTCTTTTCAACCACTCACAACTGACAAAGTCATCCAAAAAGACCGTACCTCATCCACGTTCTCGAAGGCGTTGATGATGTCGTAGGGCAGGCAGGACAGCAGGTCGATGACAAACCAGGTCTTCAGGTAGTTCATGCGGATGAGCTTGGGGTCGGAGATGACCTCCCCACCGGGCCCCACGAAGGTGGTATGGAAGTTGAGCACGATGTCCACCAGGAAGATGACGTCCACCACGCTGTCCAGCACCAGCCACACGATGTTGTTCTGCTTGGTCTTGAAGGAGACGTTGTAGGGCACCATGATGGCGGTGTAGAAGGTAAGGATGAGGATGACCCAGTCCCAGGTGGTCTTGAAGGTGCAGTAGTGAAGGATAATGTGGGGAGGCGTCTTGGGCGCCTCCTGCTTGTACTGCGGGAGGATGTCGGAGTTTAGCTGCAAAACCTAGAGGTGGGACAGAACAAGAAACTCTTTATTAGGTTTCGTTTTAAAGAGTACACTTCCTCTTTCAAGAGTTAATTAACATAACCCTTTAATTAATACATATTAAACCACAGTATTAAAAGGTAAAATAGCACAAATATCTATTTCTAGCTGCTTCAATGGAAAATTAATTGTACAAATCAGTGTCATGTGGGCTCTTAGACTTGACCTGCCTGTCTACAGCTGCCAAGTCAGTACCATCATTTAAATGACTTCTTTAAAAGCAACCTTTAATAGACTCACCTCTGTTTAACTGTTTGATCCTGCCAACTTCTGAATCTCATTTACGCTCCTACGTTTACCTTCATTTTAATCTTCTTTTAATGTGTCACCCCAAGTTTCTTTTTTCATATTCAATTTGTCCGTCAAACTTTTTGTGAACTCTCCTTTTAAATAAATGCTACACAAACAGTTCTATTATAAGACATTTTAACAGGGTCACCACTGAATATGTATCATTTTTACATTCATACTTTATATTATTATGCTTATAATGTTTTACATTTAGATTTATTCACAACACAGCATAATACCATAACAATACTGTATTACAGATGTACACTGTAAACATTAATACAGGAATTTAGTGATAGTAGTAGTAATTAAACTTACCACTTCAGAACTTATAAACATTAATTCTAACTCGACCGGCATATTAAAAGACTTCCCAGCATGCATTTGAGTGTTACAACTCTCGTGAGACCCTCCTTTTTAAAAAAGGAAACAGATTTAATGTAAACTTGCTGTGTGTCTAATACGTTTTAAGATAAGTCATGGTTGTTTGTTTTCACAACAATGAAAACATTGCGAATCATGATAAAGGTTAGTATTGACTTTAATCCCTACCCCCTTAATTAAAACATAATAAACTGAATTTGAACACTTTTACATTCTGTCTTTGTGCCGATGAGGAACAAAGTATCTCCAACAGGAGCAGCAGTAAGTTGTGTGTGTGAACTGAAGAACTGACTCTTCAGACTGATCAAATGTAAACGAAAATCACATTTGTTTGTAATGTTTGTCAGTGTGACCAAACAGTTGTTGGTTCAACTTAATATTGTGAGCTTAATGAACTTGTTTTCTCATGTTCGGATAACTTAACACAATTGGTTTTACAACTCATATGAGCAGGCTTTGACATTATACTACCACGCACATGTGCAGTGCAAACACATTACAACACTTCTCACAACATCACTCTCTGGAGTAGTTGCCAATTCATTATCATGGCCTCTGGTGGAAAACAGGCTTTCACTGGGTGGAAATTTCACTATAATTTTGTCTTTTAACAACAAGAAGAAGAACATCACAACACCACACCGTGTTCTGCCTTCCAGCTGTGAAAACGGTCTATAGGCTACTGCCTGAATTTGTTTAATGAAAAGGAAGTTGCTGTATTTTTAAATACACTGAGTTTTCTTATCTAAGGTTGTTCTGTTGTCTTATACAATATATGGCATCTTATTGACATTCCTTTTCTCTTTATTTGCATATTTGGTATTGAGGTTATCCAAAAGAAAGGAATGGAAAGTAATGAAGTTACGTTTAATATACTTTAATATTGTGATACTTGGATAAGGTTACTGACTACATTTCTTAACAGATAATTAATAATTGTGTTGCAACCCTGCAAATACGCCTTTGAACTAATGATTCAACAACAAGTTCAGCAAAACTCTGTTTGTAAGACAGCAAATGAACATGTTTAAGTTCAACCAGCTCAAAATGATTACAGTGTATGTACAGTTTACTGCACATTTCAAACTTCAAAATCCTTCTTTGTTTAGTCTTTTTCTACTTTTACTTTTTGTTTAATTGTATATGTATATTTCATTTTTACAATGTATTAATACATAGGACATTTATGCTATGTATATATGTATTTTAATACATTGTGCTCAAGATGCTCGGTATACATACACTTTTCCATCGGGGAAAAGTCCTCAAAGGGCACACAACATAAAAGAGAACACAAGATAAAACTACTTAAAAAATAAGTTAAATTATGATATGATATTAAATGTGAAATCATAAAATATATCCACAAACAAAACTCAGCTAATCATAAACAGTAAAATAAAACATAAGGAACAACAAAACATTATGCAAAAGTTCAGTACCTAACTAATTTTAAACATAGTTCATCTCTAACTACTTCACACATCTTCTAGACTCAAAAAAATTTAAACTTTGTCTATTTGATCTTATTTCATTCGTCAGGATTTCTGGCCCAGTTTTCAAACTACACTTTAAAAACGAGCACAAAGATAAAAAGCCTGATTCACTGATCATCATTAATTCACATGCAATTAATTGCTGTATACTAGGAAAAGTTGTGTTTACTATGTCAGTTCTATTTGTAAAAGAAGCCTGTAGCAAGTTGTACATTTCTATTTCACCACGTAAATGCACTATGACTGTTTTGAAAAGGCGAGAGAGCACAGACTATGAGGAGAGAGTGAAGAAGGAAGAGATCAAATTACATTGAAATAGATGAAAGAGAGTAAGAAGTAAAAAGAAAAGCAAAAAAGTTCAACTACTTTGTTTTTTAGCTTAGTCATAATAACCGCCTGCTAAGTGTATGTAGAGAGGGAAACTACTGCAGTAAACCTAAATTAGTGATATTTTTCCTCTCCAGTTGGCATCTGTATTCATCTCTTTTGTTGCTCTGTGACAAAGCCGCATAATGAATAAATCTGGCTTGAAATGAGACAGAGAGTGAAGAGGACAGAAAATGAGAAAAAGAAAATTAGACGAGAGGGAGACGAGAGTTGACCGAAAAGAGAAAGAAATAACAGCCATTATATTTTGCAGTGTGTTGATGATCACCCCCGCTGAGCTCGGCCTCCTCTGCACAACTCAGACTGCATTAAATCCGACACACAGCGGTTTGATTTCCTCTGCAGGCCACACACAGATCACACATCAACCATTCAGCTCATTTTACACTAAACTGCATATTATTCTGTCTGTATCCAGCTGCTACACAGATGAACTGTAATGTAGTCTATATAGCCCAAAACATACCATAATACATGATCACACTTCATGAAATACCACCCAAATATATTACAGCGGGTACTTTAATTGCAACTTTTACAAATAGTTCTAATTATAACATTGCTGTTTGATAATTACTACTAATAAAGATAATGAAAGATATGATGAGTTTGGATAATAATATATTTAAATTTTGTACTACTACTACTACCACCACCTTCTAGTACTGAGTTACTGCTCATACTGTTAGTAATACTGTAAATGATGATGGTAATATCCAAGCAATTACTGCTACTGTAATCAATATGGCTGCTACAACTACTACTACTAATAGTACATATTGCTACCATTATTTTACTATTTATAATACCATTACTACATTGGTGTGACTACAAGGGGCCAATACTTCTATTGCTACTACTGCTACTACTACTACTGCTGCTGCTTGTACTGCTGCTGCTGCTGCTGCTGCATCCCCCGCCATGGAGACAACTCGGTTGGGAAGTTTGCAGATCCTCGGCCGGATTTCAAACAATGATAAGACTTCTTATCGGGGGGAAATCAACAATCTTGCAGAGTGCTGCACAGAAAACAACCTGCTGCTCGACGTCAGCAAAACCAAGGAGCTGACTGTTGATTTTATTAAAAAAGGAGGCAAAGACACACTCCCTTGTTTACATGCACGTAAGTCACTCTCCACCCTTGGTCATGGGATGTGCAGGGCCCAGGACAGGAGGACCCTGCAGCGGGGGATTAAAACCACCCAGAAGATCATTGGCATCAGGGATATCAGTGAGGTGAGGTGCCTGCAGAGTCAAAAGGCCACTTAAAGACAGCACCTGGCCACCCCAGCCACAGCCATTTCACCCTGCTGCATTCTGGGAAGAGGTACAGGAGCTTCTGCTGCCCTAACACCAAACTTAAAGACAGCTTCTTCCCTCAGGCTGTGACTGTTAAATTCTCAACAACTCATCATACAAGTTAGTTCATTGACACAATTCTATAACAACAAATTATAAAAATAGCAATATCTTCATCGTGATGAAGACTTCCTGCTCTCCTGATGTCAGAAATATGTAGAGGAGTTAGCTTTGGTTAGCCTCAGTTAACCTCCTGTATGTGTCCTCACAGTGGGACTCAGTCTGATGATCAGTAACAACATCAGACATCAGTAACAAGGATCAACATCAGTCTTCATAACGCTGGAGCTGCATCTCATCTACTCCTCATCATCAGAGCTGCCAATCAAACAGCCGCTGGTCAAGAGCAGCAACGGCGCTCAAAAATGAGGCGTCCAATTAGAAGCCCAGCAGCATTGTGGGTGTGTGTGTGTGGGGGGGGAAGGAAAATAAAGCTCTGCTTAAGTGACACTCGACAGCGTACTCGAAAGAAGATGCCAGCTGTGCCTTTCAGTCTGCGGAGCAGATGGATCACCTGCGATATCTATTGAGCATGCTCAGGACATTATGCAACGCTCTCCAATCCAACGCCAGGCTGGAAAATGGGAAAGAGGGTGTATTAGCTTGTAACTGATTATCCCTTCTTCCCTTTCCTATCTCCCTGCCAATATTACTTTTTCTTTAAGATTAAACTCCTCTCTTTCTTCCCCCTGCGTCTCTCTCCCTTACATCCTTCGTCCCTCTTTTCTTGCTACCCTCCTGTTGGAAGTCCCGCCTTCTCTGTATCACATGGCTGTATCGATCACAACAAGCTCCGATGCGGCGCTGAAGAGACGAATCACAGCCGAGCTACCGTTGGATGAAAATAGTTTATCATAAGAAGTAAAAATCATCATTACCTCTTTCATTCAGTGTAATATTTCACAGTATTCTTTATTGATTTTAGTTTTTTTGGGGGGCAAATTAACGTAGAAAAAAAGGGGAGAGAGCGGCACAAAAGGTTTGTGGTTCACGTTTAAATAAAAGAATAAAGACTGAAGGTAAATATTAAGATCATTCTCCATGTTTGATATTTACAACCTAGAATGGAGTGCTCGGTGGACATAGCAACGGTAAATTCCAGAACTTTGAACATCAACTCAACACTGTATTCCCTTTGTGATGTCATCAGCAGGTCATTGTATTTTACACTTCCACCATCGTGAGGTAGAAGATTCGTAGATTGGTAAAACATTCGTAAAACATTCGTAGATTCATAGAGGATTTAGATTAGTCAGAAAGCTAAACACGATGGCTTTTAGACTGACTGATCCCTTGTCCCCCTACGACTGGACAAGGGCTCTCTTTTCCATTTATTTCGGCTGGACAGACAGGGTGGCTCCTGTCAACCAGGTTGAGGAGCTGAAAAGTCAACTTCAGCAAGAAAGGGATGCCAGTGCCGTTCAGGAGCAGGGGCTCAGTGTGCAGTTGGACCAACAGACGGAGCGGGCGGAGTTGTTGGAGCAGGATCTGAGACAAACTCTGCAACAGCTCGAGATGAGGCTCGCTGTATTCGACCAGCTCCAACAGGCGAACTGGGATATGGAGCAGGAGCAAGAAGAGGTCCAGCAGAGGCATGACCAAGACCTCATGGAGGGGGAGAGCAGACTCTTGCAAGAGGCCTCTGAAAGGGAGAAATCTCTGAGGTCTTCCAACTCCACGCACAAAGTCCAACTACATGAACAGACCTCAAGACACTCTGAGCTTGTTGCTAAGTTCAAGCCTGAGGAAGTGCTGGCGGACCAAGTGTGTCGGCAGGTGGAGGAAGCGTCCTGTGCTGCTTCACAGGACCCAGGACTTGTGGCAGAGGGGTACTCTGCTACTTCACCGGACCCAGAATGTGTGGAAAAGAAATCCTCTGCTGGTTTACAGGACCTGGGACTTGTGGAGGAGCCCTCTGCTGGTGTACAGGACCTGGGACTTGTGGAGGAGCCCTCTGCTGGTGTACAGGACCTGGGACTTGTGGAAGAGGAGAGCCCTGCTATTTCCCAGGATCCAGACCTTGAGGAAGAGGCTAAAGTCTGCTAGGAGAATGCTGCAGGGGTGAAGAAGACGCATTCTTTCTGGAAAAGATTTTGCCACTTCCTAGGTTTGAGGACTCTGCATCCAACGGTGGCACCTGAGTCGACTTATTGATTCTGGACCTCCAGAGCCTTGGTGTCATGTTAGTCTGGGTCTTGGGTCGGGGGGCAGGTTCGGGTTTAAAAACAGTAGCTTGCAGGTATCTGTGTGCATGTGTGAATGAGCAGCACATGTATTTATTTAGGACAACACGGTGGCTGAGTGGTTAGCACTGCAGCCTCACAGACAGACCTGAACCCAACAGCTCGGTTCTGGTTCTGTCTGTGTGGAGTCTGCATGTTCCTCCCCGTGTCCGTGCGGGTTTCCTCCGAGTGCTTCGGTGTCCTCCCACACGCCAAAGACATGAAGCTTAGGTCAATCGGACACACGAAATTAGAAAATTAATATGTATAATAATACAATAATATAGATTATTATAAATTATATGACATATCCTAAATTAGAAAATGTATAAATATATAATATACAATAATACAATAAACAACAGACGGGACTATAAGAAAGATATAAAAATGTATACAAGGAATAATCCAGAGATTCAGAAGTTGGAGGACTCACAAGAAACAGAACAAAAAACAGAATAAATGAATAAATTATTTTTAAAAAACAGTGAAATTGAAGCAGAACATATCCTGACTTTTAACCCCGAGGGTGGGTCAAACTTTCCAATTTCCCATAATGCAACTACATGGCATCCAGAGACCTCTATCAAACCCCGCTGTTTCTCTTCTTTTCCTCCCTCCCACACATAATTCCTTGTTTCCTCCTCATTCCTTACTTAATTCATTACATTCCCTTCCCTCTCATATTCAGCTACCTCTCTTTGCCCTTTCATTTTTATCCCGTTTTCTTCATTTCACTTTTCTTTTCATCTTTCCTCCTCTTCCATCCAATCCTCTTTTTCAACCCCCTGCCCTCAGCACCTTTAAACCACCCTGGTAACACTTTTTGCCAAAAAACCCTCACACACACTCTCGCCTCGTGTGCTAAGCAGCGGATCAAACTAAAACAAATTCTGATTAAAAGTGATACACCTCACTCAAAGCTTCATGAATACATAAAACAGGTGGGTGAGCTCCAGATGAGCCATCTTTCTCCCCACCCAGAAATCCATTTTCTAAATTTCTGAGCAGCAGTCACAATCATCCAGAGTGCCCACAGCACCCTGCTTCTGTCTCTCCACCCCGACATGAAATATTAATGACGCCCGCAGTCCGCAGGAGCCCAAGCGTTCCCAGGAAGAGAAAGCACCCCTCGCTGTGTCAAACAACTGCAGCTCCAGGGGAAGTTGACATGTGAGTGTAAGTGGAGGGAAGGCAGGGTGGGATGGATGCATCGAGGGCGGGAGAATGGGTGGTATATGCCTGCATGCATGTGTCCGTGTTGTGGTTGCTTTAACTCTGCGTCCGTGTTTAATGTTTTATATGAGGAGTTATTTGTGCAGAAATAATGTTAAGAGCAGAGAGTTGCTACAGAGGCATATTTAAAGTCTTTCCAGATTTATAAAAAAAGTCAGCATTTCTTGGGTTGAAACAACCTGAACCTCGCAAAGCTAATGCTAGTTTTTGCTATCTGATTTATCCTTATGATAAATGTTGGGCTAATGCTATGTACTGACACTACCCCACAGACACACTCACACTGGATATTTAGTCTCTTTGGGCTGCTATTACAACACAGAAACCTTTACAAACAGACACGAATGTGCTTCTAGTGACAATTTTGGGGGTGTAGTTACATGTTAAGGGAAAAGTGTGCACGTGGCATGAGGCAGAAGTACTTGGTTACTACTGTTTCTATGGTCACCTGCAGTTTAATATATCTTGCAAGCTGCTTTAGAGTCTGTGTATTTGTGTGTGTGCACGTGCTCACCTCCGCCAGTCTGGACTGTTTATGGCTGACTTCGTGTTTGCCTATGGGCGCCAGCTGCTGTAGCGTGTTGCGGTTGTTGGTGAGCGCCCGTGTCAGCCGCGCAAACTTGGTCCATCCTGCAGGAATGAAGGACACAAACAAAACACAGTCAGCTCTCAGCCACCAGTGTTGATACCCAGTTCATGACCTCCAGGGACAAACTGGAGTTACAAAATATTCCCACAGCTTTTCACTTGTACTTGCCACTAGAGGAACAGGAACAGTGTTTATTTCCCCCAGTTGGGAGCTCATATTTACAATAAACCCGGCACGATGTGAATGCAGCACCGCCTGCTCTCACGGCAAACAGCCGCCCTGCAGAAAGTGTCCTTGAACACAACTGGACCTCCAGCAGCTGCAGGGTTTCTGCTCTGCAGCGGCCCGATGTGCGCTGACCTCCGTGTGCTGAAGGACAATTTCTCCTTCAGGGGATCAATACCACAGCAATCACTGAAGATTTAGCATATGTTTGTTCTGTGAATATGGAAGCTTCTATCTGTAGGTTAAATTTGAAGTTTCAACCATTGACAACGGGGTCCATTAGTTCCCTTCACTGGAGTCACAGCTCTATCTAAGGCAGATAATATACAATACTATAAAACCTGTACATATTTACACCATGTGAGTGCTGCAAAACAGCATTTAAATGAATGAATTAATATTAGACACATTAACTACAACACTTGTCGTGTTGGATTTCATGGAGGTAATAAAAATAACTTTAAATTAAATAAATTAAAATGAGGATAAAAAATATTTAATATCCTTGATTCACTTCAGGACAAATATTTAATCAGTATTATATATACACTATACAGTAGAGCTTAGCTCATCTGTATATAGTAAACCAGACAAATTAGTCAACATTTACTATAAGTTAACATTACTGAGCCGTTTTACCATTATGTTTTAGCAGTTTTCTACTTTTCACAATAATGACAAACTTCTGGCAAATGAAATATGTTAAGTAAAGCTCAAAATATCAGATATCACGTACAGTGATTCTGTCGACACCTCCTCACATTAACTAACACTATAGTGTCACAGACTAACAGGACAAGCTGCTGCTAAGCTCCCAATCCTCTGGATGGCCCAAATAATATGATGACTGAAAATATTGATTCCAACTATTACTGACTTACTGTTGACTTATTGTTGATATCAGTCGGTGTGAGCTGAGCAAATAAAACACGTGGCTGGAAACTGACATGACAGTAAGCTAATACTAGTAATGTTCCTAATGACTAATTTCCTTACGTTTAAATTTCAATTTAGACTAAGATGGCCTCTGACACAACAGTTGTACATCAGTAAGATGTTAATAATTAGTTTAACCAACAAGTATTTCTGGAGCAGACAGGTAGCAAGGTCTCCCCTTTGGCAGCTCAGCTAACGTTACGCTAGCTTACATTACATTTTGAATTTCCTCATTGTGGGACAAATAAAGGAATATCTTATCTTATCTTATTAACTAACATCATAGTTCCCCAAACAGTAATAAACAATAAACCAAGTAGTATTTCTGGGTGGCTAATGACGCATCCCCAGCTAATAATAGGTTGTTTATGAACATCTATTCCAATACTAAACTAATTTTTAACAAATAAAATTGACTACAGCTGTTAAAATCTAAAATGAGAAGCCTGCTCAAAGCCTTCGTTCTTTCTCTGGATCAAACCCCGTGTGTTCATCCGGGTCAACTTGTGTATGACTCAATGCCTGTGATTAATATACTCTTTTTAGCATTTTACCATACGTATGCCAGTGCCAAAGATGAATTTTATATGAATTTAATGGACACTAAAGTAATCTGAATCTCAATTATGAACGTTAACAGTAAAAGAATAAACCATTACAGCTAAAAATGAAGCCTGCGTTCAGGTTTCCTCTGGAAGTCAGTCTAAATAATACAGGCCTGTCCAGCAGTGGTCATGTTCTTGCCGCGGTGCTGGTCATAACGCTGCTGAATGAAAGCAGACACAGCTTTGCGAGGACGGGTGCTCCTACTGTACCGCTCTAAAAATAAAATCAAATGAAAGGGCAGAGAGTAGCACCACAGAGGCACACCACATACCGTAGTCACACATCAGGATCGACCCGGCCCTTTGAAGGGACCATTACGAATAAAAAGTGGACTTTGAAATAGCTTTTAACCCTCAGGCCTCCAGCTGCATAAAAAAAAAACCTTTCATTCTCTGGTCAAATGGAGGCAAATTCAGCCATTCATTCCTCTGTGCAGTCGTGTGAAACAAAACACAACATTGTACTGAGTCTCATATACAATACAGAATATATAGTTTATTCAGAGTATTTCCCTTCGACGGAAACTGTTGAAGTGGCTGTTGTGTAACTTAGTATACATCTTCAGTTGCAGAGCGGCTTCTTTTATGTGATTTTCTATATGCTAATACCTTAAATTGGCTGGGGATCAGCACAGATAATAAGCGCGGGTGCTCTTAGCCAAAATGGAGGTTTTTCAATATCTTTCCTGAAAGGAAAACTGCTGCAGTAGTGCTTGTGTAACTCACTATAATATTGTACAGTTTATTGTTGGCAGTTGAAAAGCAAAAAGCCCAGAGTCATCTAAACCAGAGAGATGAATGTCTGTTAATATTTAGTACGATACTTAAGAACAGACTTTACGTGACTTTTGTTTCCTGAACTAAAGTTTTATAAAAGTTTTGAAAAAGGGTACTTTTCAAATTTGATACTTAAATTTAGACCAACGTTTGAAAGTGTGACGACAGATTGATCCTCTAACACATTTAAACTTTAATTAATGAGCAGTGAACACATCCTCACACGGTATCTATTGCTGTGTAATGGACATTAATTTGTTTGCTAACCTCTTGAACCTCCTCTGTAGCTACTTGTGGCCACAGTTCAGAAAAGTTTACACAAACACAAAACTCAAACTTAAAGTGAGAGTTGCCCACTTTAATGACATCATAAAGTATAGATAAAAACACAATAAACAAGCTCAGATGTCTTTTTCATATTCTACAGTCCTTTTCATCATTAGTCGTTTTTGCTCATAAATTCAACTTTGCATTCATATAATAAAGATTTTAAAGTCATACCAGCTAACTGCAAATCATTGACAGTATATCTAACAGACAGAGCTTCTGGGTCTGAAAAATGAAGCCAATGTGGAAGTGTCTTGAACGAGCATTCTGTGTAATAGCCAGCAGGGGAAGCTTCACTGGTTGCAGTAACACAGCGATCCCATTCACTCTAATGGAGAAACTAGCCGATTTCTCAGTTGATTTATGAGCTCAGTAAACAGTTTCCTGATGAGTTTATGGTCTCAGTCTCTAGCTTCAGTCTTCTTCCATACAGCATGATGTTCATTTAGTAACTGATGGTCCCATTTAGAGTAAAATAGACCATAAAGCAGGGTGTGCTTTAGGGCGGGGCTACCTTGTTATTGACAGCTCATTCTCTGTCCAGCTCAATGCACCAAACTCAGATCAAACTGTCGAACTAGGCAGTGCTGATCAGATATGGATCCAGATTCTGTTTCACAAACACATTTTAGTGTTTACCTGGAATACCAGATCGTGTGTGACCAGGCGAGCCGCCATGGTTTCCTGCTACGGACAAGTCAAAACTGTGCAGCCAATAAGCGTTGATCAACCTGAACTCGAGGCTTCAAAACGGCACTACACAAACCAATGGGTGACCTTACGATAGGTTCACACTTGCTCCAAATGTTTGCTTTAGCAGGACTTTTAATGGCGTAGTTTTCCATTATGATATTATTCCTTTTACTGAAGGTCTGAAAGGCTCTGTCTATACCACTCTTTCAGTCGCTGTGGTTGCATAACTCGGTGTATGATGTGCATGCATTAATATCAGCGAACCATTTGCACGGAAAGCGAGCCAATGTGCTCTTTTTCCAACCCGGAACCGCTTTTCATTATGAAGTAAAATGGAGGAATTTGTCTTGGTTGAGACTGGTGTAAATACGTACTGACAGCTCACAGGCTTCCACCGAGCATGCTGACACATAAAGGACGAAAAGACCTCAACAAAAGAGCGTGAGCAGAAACTGCAGGACAAGTAAATAAGAGGTCTTTTTCACGGTTAATAGTAATGCTCCCGCTACGGTTGATGTATCAGACTGGAGCACAATGGAAGTGGAAATAAAAAAATAAAAGTCTGGGCTAAAAATAACAGGAGCAGAACTGGTGCACGCGCCACCAAAGTGAATTCAGAAATGAGATTTTGAACCTACAGTTACTGCAGAACACGACAAGTACAGACATCTGACACACAACTGTCAAAATCTTTCTTTAACATTTATTAGTGTGGGCGGGTTTCCCTTTGTGCTGTTCAGGGTGGATGTTCGCTTTCAAATCAGGGTTTTTGACGTTAACGGAAAGTGGGAGCAGCAGAGTTCAGCTACTGTGTGTCACTGAGGTTATCACGTTTGGTTGAATTAACTCGACAGCTCGTCCGAGGTCCAGATACATTAAGACAGCATTCATGTTGATTTACATGTTTATTGCTCAGATATAAGAGCGTTGTCCTTTTCAAACAAAACACTACAGATCTAAAGTTACCTTTATATGCACCTAACGTTTGAACAGGTACTGTGGTCATTCACTGTGTTTGTAGTGAATTAACCGTCACCTACTTTTACAGTTCAGTGTGACAGGATTCCCACAAATCCTGGAAGTATATGGACAATATGGAAATTTAGAGACAAGTTTTCTAGTCATGGAAACACCTGGAAATTGATTAAAATGACCAAAAGAGCTAGAGAAGTTTAATTGAATTTTACCCCCTCACTCAGAAGGATCACCTGGGTGTGTATTTAGTTTCAAAATCGTCTGTTGGTTGGATAAGCTGCATGAAAACTGGAGTTAAATATGTCGATTCTATATATTATACATATATTCTATGACGGTTTAATAACCAGGTTCTTCCACAGTGTAAAACAACTTATGTTTTATTATGTCAACGATGATTTCAAAGGCTAAAATGTTTTCCGGTTTAACGCCTGAGGCATCTGTGTTGTTGCCTCGACGCTCTTCACTCATTCTGATCAGCTGTCTACCTGAGATGATGTCTCGCCCGCGGCTGAGGTAACTGCTTTGTCAGCACCTGTAAAAGCTTCACAGATGGCGTACAGTCAACGCCACAATGAAACAACACGATGCTCACCATTTCTAACAGTTTTGCTCTGCCACATGTTTATCTTCGCTCCACTTTCTGTTCTCACTGCTTTCCTACATTGACAATGCTCACAGCAGCCTGATTGTAACAGCCACAATCAGTGGCCATACACAGAGCAATCAGAAATGTTCCAATTTCATTGAAAAGGCACCTATTAAATTTGGGATGATGTCAATGCTCTCCACTTGTTGGATGGTTAGATAAAATGGGATAAAAATGGGTATTTTTAGGCCAAACGGGGGCATGAACACTACAGGGTGCAGATAACACATTTACAGTCTATTTCGTTATTTTAAGTTGAGGATAGATATCTTTAGCGGACCTGGATCTCTCTCCCGCATAGCTGACGCTAACACGTTGTGGCGTGCCGAGCCGCGGGAGCAGCCAGAGTCAGAGCCGAGAGCAAGTGTAGGTCTGCAGCACGAGCGAACTCAGCTGCCAAAGCCCGCAGCGATGAATCTCCCTCCCTCACAAACGGCCTCTCCCACCCCTCTAATAACCAGGCGGGTTAAACTGCAGCCCACAGTACACCGCTCTGAGGATTATGCTGCATCCTCCAACCAGCCGTACTGTACTGAAATACATTGAAGTGTACTGGCTGGCTTCGGTCTGGCTGCAGCACGTCAGTCAAACCACCAACGGCAATGTGGAGCCTTGTTGTTGACGAATCAGAAGCCACATTGGGGACTAAAACAGCTTAAACTAAGATATGACCTTTTAACCTGACAACAAAATGATCATGTTGGGTCAGTTTACATATATAACTATGACAGTACTATAAAACAAACTAACTTCTCGACTCTGCAGACTTGCAGCCTGCAACGTAGGCTGACACTCACAGAAATAGCCTCACTGAGCCACTAGCTTAGCCAACATTACAACACAGGTAACAGACATAGACGTTTACAAACGGGTCATGAATATGCTTCTAGTGACCAGCGCGTGCATGGAGAGTCTGACAGCAGCTGCTCGTTGCTCAGTTAGCTCTGACTACCGGCAGCTGAGCGATAGTCAGTTTCTGACAGTGATTCTCCTGTGCTGTACTAACAGGGAGGTAGCTAGCAGAATATGGGTGTTTTGTCACAATTTAATAAGGCTTTTATTGTGAAACATTTGCAGGAACGTGTTGTGGAAAACTCACTGACTTGCACACTCATTCATGGGCTCTCATTATGTGACACCTAGTGGTAAAATTCGGTATTACCTGTTTGGTCTTTTTGCCTTAATATCGAACCGGTTTGACACTTTCTACATTGATCCGACCGTAGTTCCAAGAAGGCTCATGTAGGTGAAGTTCTTTGTGTTGTTTTTTTTCCTGATACTCTGACTGAACTGTGGTTGCCGGACCTTTAGTGGCTTTTTTTTTGTTAAATGACGGGTGATTACAGAACTAAATCTGAAGTTTGTCACATCATCAGCCGGAGCTGCTAACTGGCAAAGACATGAGCGCACTGATGTGACAATACTAATTCCACTCAAGCTCTAATTGCATGTTCAACCCATGTTATTCATGTGTCGCAGAGCACACATAATGAATAAACAAATCACACAACAACTCTGGGCAGGTCTGCAACGGGGGGGGGGGGACCTCACTGCATGTGTTCACATGTGTTTACATGTGTGTGTAGATTAAAGAGGGGGAAGGGTGAGGGATCCTTGTCAAAGGGCAAACACACCCGCTCAGCTTCGCCGAGAGTGACTCCCGGGGCAGGAAGCTGACACTGTGCATCAGTCAGGGCACAGAGGACAACACCGCCACCCACATCTCCAGTGATTCCTGACAGCATCACAGCCTCCTCAAACGCAACCTGACAGCTCGAGACGTTCCCGCAATGCAGGGAAACAAGACTTGACTCGCTCTTTTTCATCCAGCCGCAGCTTTGGATGAAAGAAAGAGGGGAGGAAAGAGAGATTGGTGGCAATGCAAAAATGTCCTGAGATTTCGCAGCGGGAGAGAAAGGACAGAAGAGGAACGAAGAAGAAGAGACAAAGTAGTGAAAGAATGGATAGAAAGAAGGAGGAGCACGAGGAGGTGGAGGAAGAGGAAGGCTTGAAACATAAGAGACGAAGGAGGAGAGTGAAAAGAGTAACAAGAAGGGAATAAAAAGAAAAGGAGGAGGAGGAGGGGATGACACACAGTCAAAGCATGAAAAGGAAGGAGGAAGTTGTGTTTTACTGATCTGTATGTACATATATTTTACACTTGCTTTGGCAATGTAAACATCTGCTTTTTCCACATGCCAAAATTGGATCTTTGAATTGCACTGAAAGAACAAGTACGACACAAAACAGGAGGAGGAAGAGAAGAATCTCTGGAGAAATAATCTGAAAGAGGAAGGCGATGGAGAAGACCAGATTGCAGGTTTGCAGCTCTGTGAGGCTGCACTGGGGCTGAGACACCAGCCGACATGAACTATTGTGTTTTTCATATACATTATTGATTCTAACACTTTCTGTCTTTCTCCCTTCAGAATCCATAAAAAGGTCACAGCCACCATTTTTATCAATCATTAACAACGATACTAGAACCAAAAGTAATACAAAAAAGTAGATTTTTAGGAAATAAAGGTCAGTACGATTGCATCATAACACTCTTTCACCTTAGTTTCACTTTGTGTACCCCCTACAGTGGCTCCATGTCCTGCAGTTTGAGAACCACTGGTTTAGTGTGATTAAAAGCCATTAAAGTGTGTAGTTCTGTACCAAACAAACATGTTTTATAACATCTGGAGTACAAGATTTTGTAGTACAGGGCTTCTCTGCAGCTCTACAGTGATTTCCACTGACATTATAATGCTGTTTCGTCACACATTTTACATTTATATAGAAAATTGCACCTTCTGTGATTTGGATATTGCACTGAATTGTGCAGCTCTACGTGCTAGTATGCTAAAATTAGCTAATTATCACTAAACACACGGTAAAGCTGAGGCTGATGGGATTGACATTTGTTTTGCAGTTATTTCATTAAAGTATTAAGCATAAAGAGAAGAGAGGATAAAGAGGAAGGACTGAGAAGAACATGAAGATGAGAAGGAGAACAATAAAAACTGGGAGAATGAAAAACATCAAGAGAAAGAACAAGAAGTTGAACGAGGAGGAGGAGGAGGATGAAGAAACGTAATTATATGTCCTATCAGAAGCCAACTGGCGTTACATTACGCACCGGGGCATCCAGCCATGTACCCATTTGCTTCCCACTCACACATTTTGTCACATGTCATCCCCCGTATCGCTCCCTTTCTCCTGTAACTCCTCACTGTATACTATCTAACAAAACAGGAACACCATAAAAATGATCTTTTCTGGTGGCTCGGCACACTAAGCTGCACATCATGTCCTCAAAACATCGGGTTTTCAAACCCATCAAAGACTTCTGGTTGCACATCTTTCTCCACATCTCTCTCTCTCTCTCACGCTTTTTCAAATTCTACTGTGAATCATCTCATAATCTTCAAAAAAGCAGAGAGACATTATTGTTTGTGCAGAGATGTTTTTTCGGGAGGCGTCTCTGAGGAAAAGCACCTGCCTGCCCGCAGTGAAACACTCACCTTTTGTGGTTTCGTCTTCGATGGGCTGCTTGAAGAGGGTGATGTCCTTAAAGGTGCACAGGAACAGGACCACCTTGTCGTTCTCGTTCCTGATGGGAGCCACTTGCATGTAGAACCACACTGGACTTCCTGCAGAGACATCAGAAAATCTTAGTTTGTGTCCTCCTAATCAGGTCTGTAAGTAATCTTTTAGATTGTTCAGTCTATAAACAGTGGGAGGAACAGTGAAGACTGTCCATTATCATTTCCCAGAGCCCAAGATGACGTCTTTAGATGTCAGGAAAAAAGTCAAAAACTCAGTTTATAATGACATAAATCAGAGATAAGTAGTAAATCCTCACATTTGTAAGTCTGGGAGGAGAGAATCTTTTCAAATTACTGTGTCTATTGACTAATTGTTAATCGTTTGAGCCCTTTTCAAAACCCCAACCTATATGGTAATTCTAAAGTCGCACAAGCTTATCAACAGCAAAAATCTTGATTAAAGAAAAAAAAAAAACATAAAATTGCTGCAATCACTGGATGTTTTTTAGCCAACAAATCTTTCATGTTGCGTTCAACTTTGAACAACTTTGACACTCAAATCTGCGCTTTAGTAAACTGCTGCACAATAGAGGAAGCATTTGCAGACAGTTATGAGACATGAGTCAACAATACTAATACGCTTCTTTAATAAAGTGACTCTCCAGCCAAAAACTTTAGATTAATTCCCATCATCCTAAGTGTAATGTTCAACTGTCCACATACTTTTGGCCATATAACGAGAGCAAAGAACACTGAAGGCTTCACTTCACAGACCCTACTGTCAGTGGTTCGTCTATTACCAGAAACAAAACAAGCTGAGAAAGCTCAAAGAACAAAAGATATAAATATTTAAATACACAAATGAATTTTAATATTTTGTAATAATGAAATGATGCTTAATGTGAGCTGACTGTAACCCTGGAATACCAAATTTAATTATTCTGGTGATGAAAAGCTCTATTCTTTTGTGCATTGCATTGTGGGACAACTAATCAACAGTCCAGCAGTTTTAATCTGCATATTGACATTTTTGAGTTCACTTTCAACTACTAAAGAACGCTGCATACTCAATAGTATGTCCTATTTATAAAGAACCTTTTTTACTCAACTGACACTTTGAGACGAACATAATGAAATTGAGTAATTACAGTACTGAGCTGTTCCACTCTGTGTACCCTGTTGTACCCAGTAATCTTCATAAGAACAATTTGATCCTCACTGTCCCTGAACATGATGTTTAAATTACCCCATATGCAAACACACGTGTCCTTTTAACAACTTAATGTTAAGGTCATCACTTTAAAGGGAACTCAGTGTTCTTTCTGTAGAGACAACCCTCGAACCGGCTGAGGTTTCTGTGACTTTATTACCTCCTCGCGCACTTTCAGGAGAAGCCAAAGTTCAGCAAAGTTGCACACACCTTAATATCATAATTTCTGTAGATACAAGTTGTTCGTAGTCATCATCCATCTCATTTATATCCAGCCTCTAAAAAAAAAAAAAGCCCCACTCTGCTGATTTGTCAGCAAATTTGAGCCACTTTAAAATTGATCTTTTTTTTTTTTACTGTTTCTCCCTCCGAGCCTCGTGCTCCTCCACCTTGCGTTTTGCTCTGGTAGGTCATCACTCTTTGAAGACAGGAACATTTGGAACTATTTTTCTCTACACACTTTGTCCATTGTACTCCTCATCAGCGCCGCTGAGGGGGATTTACTGCTCACTCCACTGCTGCTATAATCACGATATTTGATCTGCGGGAACCGCTGATCCAGACGTAAGGATATACAGTTATGAATAATTCTCCCAGAGTTACAAAACAGATGACACAATGTCAAGTAATGAAGTAAGTGAGCACTCACTGTTCTTTCTGTACAGCAGGATTTCGAAGCAGTTGGACTCATAGTTGTCGAACGTCTGCCTGACTTTGTCGATGGTCTTCTTGTCCGTCAGCTCTCCGTACATAAAACTGGAAACAGGCAATATGAGAAACAGCGGCGATCAATACTGACCCTGGCCCTTTGCCCCCTGTGTTATAGTATATCACATATGTTTGTAATGGCATCATCAATCTGTCATCTTACCATAAAGTGCCCATTAAGTTTTATGTTTGGTTTTTATGGAGTAAATTGACGCAGCGGCAGCATAAATTTTGCTCACAGTGAAGGATTGTGGATTATTTTTGGATTGGTGCAGCCAGCATTTCCTGGCATGGTTGTAATTATTCCTTAAAGGGCTGAGGACATTTTAATCTGTGCTAATATAATTAGTCTGAGTGATTACTTTCTTCCCAACAGCCGCAGCATCTTCAAGGACTGATACACACAGAGGTGACAATACACACTGAAAATGATCCATCAGTTAAGCTAACGGTATGTTTTCTCCTTGTAGATCATGTTTTTATACTATATTTTCAGTGTTTTATCACTAAATAACATCTAGAAAAAGCCTAAACTGAGTTCTTTCTGCTAATGTAACAGCCTCACATGTTTGTGGCTAATATAGCTGGTTTAAAAATGGATGAGGAATCCAAACATGGTTGCTCATTTAGTGCAGGTGCATATACCGAAAACGTTCCTCGCTCTTCTGAGCATCAGTGCTCATAAAGCGAAACATCCGGCACTAAATTAATTTCTTGATATGACTCTAAGTGGCTTTTAAATATTCATTTACCTGATGGTTTAAACTGCAATGTTCAGGAAATGTTAATCTTACAAGTACTAAATGTCTTTCAAGTCACCAGATGATCGCACAAATCGTCACAAATGTATCTGCGTAAAGCTTATTACTCACAGCCATATGAAAGATAAATCTTAAGCTTAATAACTCAATACTGGGACATTGTATATTTGAAGTGAAAAGTTTTTTTAAAAGGAGGTATAAGATCAAATAAACAGGTATTTACAGGAAACAGGAACTGCTGGCTGAGAGCATCCCAAGAGGAGAGGGAGAGACCCCGACGCTTTTGGAGCTATCAATCAATCAAACTTTATTTGTAATCACCTTTCATAAAGTATAGAAGTTCAAAGTGCTTCACAGATAATGGACAAGACGATAATAAGACAAAATGCAGTAAAAAATTAAATAAAGTAGAATACAAAGATAAAAATGACAATAAAATACATTACAATTGATTTTACAGGTATAACAATAAGATATAATAAAAGCTATACTATAAAACTAAATAAAATTAATTAAAGCATGCAGAAATGACAAATAAAAACAATAAGGATATATATTATAAGGACACAATTTAAATGAATATACAATTATACTTAAAAAACAAAATACTAGGAGATAAAAAGCAAGAAATGGTAAATAATGTCTAAAACCATCCCTAGTTAAAAGCTGGGCTGAAGAAGAGGTGGTTTTTCACTGCATTCATTCCCATTGAGGCTGCACAAATTACAATATAATAAAGTATATTTGTCACTAAATTTGTCATTAGTCGCTTTTTATTTATAAAGTCTGACAATCTGCTAAAAATTAACCCAGTTGGCAACACTGGTCCCAATCCTAGAAGGTCAATGTCCCCCTCACACGGTTTGATTGGCAGGTGGAAGTTTACAGCAGAAACACCACAGCACTGAATAAATTAAATAGAAATAAAATAGAATTACATAAAAACTATAATCTGGACACAAACATAAAAAAAAGAACCTCCACTCAGCTTTAATTGTTTAATTGTGGATTGTAAATATAAAACTGGCATTAACCATGTAGATTAATATATTGATTAAACAGCAGAGACTGCAGTCGGAGCAGAGAGAGCAAACAGGTGAGGTAGCTTTAATATCCTTCAGCTAACATGCTAATGGGTTGAGAGAAAAGGCCGTTAACAGATCCCAGTGAAGTAATTGGATGACAACTGAGAGGTGGAGCCCCAGAGAGATGATAAAATTAGAATGATAATTGTCTTCCTGCTTGAACTTGCACTTAAAGTTTCTTTCCATATTTAAATTTCAAACTTATTAACAGTAATTTAAATGGAAATTTGGGGGTTTGGGGATTTTGGGACACTGTGACAAAGTAAGAGGGGCTCAGCTTTAATGAATAACAGCAATACTGCCTATAGTATCTATACAGCAGCAGTGGTTCCTCAGCACAAGTTGAACATGTCTATGAGTCGTGAGCAGTTCCACCAAAGACTTCTCAGATTGTTTCATTAGAACTTAAAAAGGTTGGAAGTAAAGAACACAAATCAATGTTTTTTCTTCTTTACTATCACATTAATCATCTTGTGACCTTTTAAAAGTTCTATATATTCAATATTTTAGAGTCACATGGTGTCTCACTCCCTCTGCCTGTGTTGTATCGCAGCCTCTCTGTGGTTTGTTTCCATAGCCGGTCTGCTCTGACTGAAACTGCTGTTTTTATCATCTACGTCGGTGAATTAAGGATTTATTTCCACCAAACCAGAGTTGGTGATTGTTGGAAAGACTAACAGAGACAGTTTTAATGAATTTTATTCTGTTTCTGTCCACTTTGAATGAAGTTACGATGATCTGAAGGTAAAATGAGTGTTTGTGTCTCTGGAGTCTGGTGGAGAGTGATAGTGATATTACGGCTGTTTGTGGTTAAACTGAAGGTCTATCTCTGTAGGGATCCTTTCCATAATGCTGTCAGACACTGACAATAACAACCTGAGTCTGTCAGTGGCAGAAACAACTACTGTTAGTGGACGAACTTTGACGGTGCATTTGTCCCCAAGGATTACTGATCAACTTAAATTGCAACTATAGCGGTTTATTTCGTTAGCAATTGTTGGGAAGACAGTTATTGTGAGTTTTATTAATTAAAGTCACAAAGTCATTCCTTTGTATTGCAGTCAAAAGATCAAAAATGACTCTCCCAAAATGGCACCAGGCCCCATTAACAAGCCCCCATCTTCCATCACTTTGGCAGCAGTCTGTAAGTTTAAGCTCTCAGTGGGCTCTTCTATCCTCTCAGTGTCACGTCTGAGTGGATTGTCGGCCTCAGTGTCCCCCCCCCCACCACGCTGCCACCACCTCAGCCCAGAGCAGCAGGGAGTGGACGGATAAATCTCAGCGCCCCTATTCTCACTCAGCTCGGTGTACGAGGGAGCTGTTTTTAGCCGGCGGCTGGTCAAGGCCGTCACCCCCGGTCAGATCTGCGAGGCGCCTGAGGACAGGAGTCGTCCTTTGGAGTCAAATTTTAAAACGTCTTGACTGACAGGCGAGCAAGACACCGTCCTCGAGCAGGACCGGGCAGAGCTCCCCTGGCAGCTCTAAATTGGATTCATTTCAGTGTCTCGCTGAGCGGTGTGCCATCTCTTCCTCGCTCTCTCTCTCTCGCTTTTAGAGCGAGTGGAAATGCCAGATGCATTGATTTGCATGATTTTTTTTGTTGCAGTGTTACTCTGCTGAGCTCCACACTTTTGATATCAGAGCAACTTGGTATCATGTAAACAGCTCTCCAGAGCAGCGCTGTGCTGTTTTAATGATCACTACAGCAGGACAGAAGCAGGAAGGCACAAAAACTGTCACTTTTTAATTCTCTCTCTCTCTCTCTCTCTCTCTCTCTCTCTCTCTCTCTCTCTCTCTGCTTTAATAATGGATGAAACTGAATAAAAAAACGACATATTAGGGATTTTTGCAGGATAAATAGAGCACTTTGAAAAGGACATGCTTTTACTTTTAAAAACACTGACTCATGGCTACTCTGCTGTGGTTTTAACTCATAAAGATTGCTGTTGAAAACAAATATTGGTTTTTATGAGTTCTGCTTAAACAGAAGCATTAAAACCATTAAAAACACATTTGCCCAGGGGCTGAAAAAGGCAAATTGTTGCTATAGATTTATTAAGAAAATGTGTGCAAATGTAAAGGAATTACTGCCCATTTAGTTATGCTGTGTGTGCAATTACGATAAAAGCAATAAGACTAAAGAGTCATTATTGCTCCATTACTGTACTGTAACTTATATTGCTTTAGACAACAATAATTGTGCACGTTTACAGTGTTTAAATGTTCAGTAATAATACGAAATAAACAAATCATTACCTGCATGTGCTGCTCTTCTGCATGACTTCAGCCCTGTGGAAGCCAGACAGCTTGCAGAATCCGTCATTGCTGTAAACTACAGGCCACTCCACGATCTGGGCGTTTCCCAGGAGGAAGCTGGTCTCTGATAGATGGACAGGACAGACAGCGCATCAGCCACAGTAACAGCATCAATCATCAAAAGCAGATAAAAGGCTGCAAAGCGTCTTGTAGCCTCTGGAGAGGATTGCACAAAGATATAGGGGTCAGTTTTAGTTTTCCTCTTCGACTACTCAACACGTCAACTAATGCAAAATATAGAGATTTTAAAGAAATATAGCTGGACTACAAGGGGGGAAAAAATTACATTTGAACTTGCTGACCATCCAACTGCTGAACAAATATTACACAGTAGGTTTATATCTCAGCATTTGGTTCACTTCTGTGAAGAAAAGTAAATGTAATGTAAACAAATATGAGGGCCAAGAAAACACAGTATGTTTGTTAAAAAATATTTAAAAAAATACATAATGCAGACAGAGAATTGTACAAAAAGTCAAAATTCCTGCAAACTTCCTGCAGTTTGGGTTCATTGTATAGTTTTGAATATAATGTGAAATATGAATAAAATATGTCACTTAATCAGGAGTCGTCGGTTTACTAAGGGTTTACTTAAGGAAAAAGGTTGGGAACCAAGGGTCTACATGCTACTTTAAGGCCAACCAGATGAGATGCACTGTGTATATTCTGATAAAATATCCATATCTAGGTCCATACTTAGTGTTGGATCTGTAACCATAGTGGTAAAGAAAATGTTTAATTTATTCTGTCCTATACTTTGAATTAAATCATTAAATTAACTAAAACCCAGATTTAATTTAAATTGTGCAACAAGTTTAATCATTTAACAAGTTCCCTTAGACAATGGGCAGACCCACCCGTGCTAGAGGACTCTCACACCAAAAAGACTGTAACTGTGGACCAGTTCTCCCAGAAAACTTCCAAAACACTTCCCAGTCAGAAGGAAAGATTACAGCAACCAATAAACTCTTTGAAACTACAAACGGTGACTCAAAAAAAACCCCATCCTTTAAAATCTGCAGCCTGCAGTTTGGAATGAAAGAGCTGAGTAAGATAGTCGGTTTGAATCATCTCAACCTTTCTGCTCTCCTCTTTCATGCCAACCAAACACTTATCTGGATTTTCAGCAAAAAGTCATTGAGCATTTACGACTTTAACCTCTGTCATGATCCTTCATCACTGATTTATTCCGTTCTTTAAAGCCTTTTCCTAAACCTTCACAAGTTTTGTATTCGGATAATATTATTATTATTATTATCAGAGCGAGTTCATCGACGTGTCATTTTGACCTATTATTGGTGTTTATGCACATATTCAACTTAATTTATTCAACTGAATTGCAATAAACCTTAGAATTTCCAGAATACCATCATTTTACATTATGTTTGGTATAAAATAATTAAATAATGTAAAAACATCAAATACTACAACACGTGTATTATACTGTTTTGTATGTTGGCGACCGGCACAACATACACAATTTTCACCATGCTTGGATCTCAATCAAGTGTTTGTGGATCATATTTAATTTCCTGTTGTTCACTTAAAGAGTTTGCTCATTCAAGAACGACACATCACTAGTGTGACACAGTTGAAAGCTGTGGAAAAAGCTAGTAAGTGGACCTTTAGTTTGCATCTAACTAAATGCATCAGAAGAGTATTTGGGGATTAAAGTGAACCGATTATTCTTCTATTTACGTATTTATTGTGTAATTTAATGCTTTTATCCAATTATACAATAATGGTGGAAACAAAATAGGTTAAAGTGCCAGAATGGCACAATATGATATGTTTTTCATTTGTTTTATTTATTGAATTTTGGATACGCAGTACGGTAATGCGGTGGACCAAACATCCTCTCAGAAACACTAACCTGATCTTTAACCAACTGCACCAAGCAGTCTGCAGCTGAAGGGCTCATTTGTATGAGGATGAAGGGGACAGAGGGCAAAAAACTGATCACCATCCTCCAACTATGAAATCTATGAGAGTGAATGGTTTAACCTGAACGAGCTGCTGCAGCTGCAGGAGAGTCGGAAACATCTGCAGTGGAAAAATTACCACCAGCAGCTTGTTGTTTTTTCTCTCTCTTTCATAATCACAAAGATCTTAATTATTCATTTGATATATTCTGCATGGTGATAGCTTTGGTCACCAGGGAGGGCAATAAAAGGGGTTTTAACTGTTCAACATTTAACTACAAGTCACACATACTGTACACAACAGTGCTGCCGACCATCCTGCACTGCTTTTAGATGGATTAAAATCAACTTCAGACTTGCTTGAGTTCGGTAATCCATCACAGTGACCCTTTGTCATCGTTGTATTGCTTTCAACTGAGATCTTATTTTTGTAGCTTTGGTCAACGTTTCTCTCAGTTATTAGGGTCTGGGAACACGAGGATATTCCTACACAAGACAAAAAGGTCTTCCAGATTAGCTAAAACAATCTGAAGTTAAAAACGAAAGTGAACTACAGTAACTATGGTCAAAGTTAAAGCAGTTAGAGAAATCATTTTACTTTTTTGTCTTTGTTTTCTTTAAGTTTGGCGGGTTTGTTTAAAACTGATTGTCTAATTGCTGGTGTCACTTTACACAGTCGGGCTGTATACAATTTTAGAAATGCTAACAGGATGTAATACAATTACAATTGGAGATGTGTTTAAAGGTTATTTTTATATATATGAAATTGACTTGCCATCATCTTAGACCAAAACAATGGGCGCTACAGCGGACCAGACTCCACTGACAAAGCCAGTATTTTTAACTAGCGACTCTGGTTTGGTGGAAATAAACTCTTAATTCACCAAGTTAGATGAGAAAATAGCTGCGAAAAGGGCTGCAAATACTCACTACTCCACTAAAAGTTATTTCTGCCATTGACAGGCTCAGATTGTTATTCTCAGTGTCTGACAGCATTATGGAAAGGATCCCTACAAAGATTAGGGATGGGTAAAAATATCGATTCATCAATGCATTGCAATATATTTTTTCCCAATTCAATATCGATTCATTAAATCCTCTGAATCGATTCAAGCCCCTGGCCAGTGGGGGCGTGGTGAGCAACACCTGTGTGTGATTTGTGACAATCGAACCACGATACGCCATACCAAGACGCAAACACATGATGGAAGTCGCCGTCCCAAAGCTTTTAAAATTATTGACAGGTACTCTAATGAATTATTTGTGTAATTCTACTTATTACTGAATCGAAATCGGAGCATTTAAATCAATATCGAATTGAAATCAAATCGAATTGTGACCTAAAGAATCAAAATCGAATCGAATCGTGAGGTTCTTAACAATACCCAGCCCTAACAGAGATAGACCTTTAGTTTAACCAGAAACAGCCGTAATATCACTATCACTCTCCACCAGACTCCAGAGACAAAAAACTCAATAAAATCGTCTCTGTTAGTCTTTTCAACAATCACTAACTCTGGTTTGGTGGAAATAAATCCTTAATTCACCGACGTAGATGATAAAAACAGCAGTTTCAGTGGGAGCAGACCGGCTATGGAAACAAACCACAGAGAGGCTGCGATACAACACAGGCAGAGGGAGTGAGACACCATTATATCTTTACATAGCAGATAGTTGTTTGCTGCTATATTGATATTTTCAATCTCATATATAATCTTTAAGGACAGACAAACATCCAGCTGCAAAGAAATGTCTTCAACAACTAATTAAAACTCAGATGAACAACAACACAAATGGTGACAAATTGAATTTTCTATCTTGTATCTTTTCTGTAGGTGTATCTCAAATTTAGGTTTCCCGCAAGCACTGAATGCACCAACAAGAAGCAGTCCCTGTTCCAGTTATATTATTGCACATCGATAACAAAGTGTCCACTGTAATGGATTCCCTACAGTATCACAGGTAAAGTTCAAGCCTCACAGGTTATTTTTTATAGCAATCAGCCACAAACTGAACCCAGTGGCTCCTTGAAAGGTTCACCTGCTTTAGGAAATGGTCAGCAGTATGTGAATGGTAAATGCAATTTGTAATTAATGAGCTAAAGACAACGGATAACGTCCTTAATGCCTGCCAAATCCGCTGTACCAGTAACTTTGGCAGGTAATGATTCATCAATTACAGAGCCGCCTCTTTTCCAAAAAGTAGTTGGCTTGTAAAAGAGTGAATTTTGGGATGAAATGAAATTGGAACAGCTTTTCAAACACGACTGTGTCCGTGCCCAAAAACATCACAAGCATTCAGTGTTTCCCACTGTTTTCAGCAGGAGAGGAAAATCCTGTGAAACAGCATTTTAAACTATGAAAAGACACTAAAATCTCTGCAGTGAAACACAAACGGATGAGTTCTTGAAGGTGTGTCAGCAGCTCTTTCGTGCAGGGTTCACTGCGGGTTTTACAGCCTCCAACACTCGATTGATTTCACTGGGCAGCCATCTGATGATATAAAAAAAAAACATTTACAGTAATAAAAATGTTCTAGCTGCAGTCAGGGAAAACCTCCACTGTATCAGCAGTGGACATCAGACTGCGTGATATCTGATTTCTAATAAAACAACTAATTAGTTCTGTATATCAGTTGCTTCCAATAATCACCAATGAACACTTACATGACATTTCAGAGCAAGCAAGTGTATTCTTAATCTGTACAGTGACCTTTCAATTAATGTTCATTATCTGTAAAGGTGTAACAGGAAGCTGACAGGACGATGCTGCTACAGAGGAAGAGGCTGCTTTACCAATTTACACCTGAAAACCATCCGGATCCTCTAGTTTCTAGACTGATTTAATGACTCCCTCCATTCACAAGTTTCTGTCTTTTCTGCAGCAAGAAAACAGTGTTCACTGCAGTTCACAGTAAGAGAGGATGTGATGAGAGAAAGCTCCTAAAGTGCAAAGTGGTGAAAAGAGTGGAGAAAAACGACCCGCTGAGTATTCTCCATAAAGTGAGTTTTGTTTGTTGGGGTAAAAGCATCGAACATTACTTGAAAATCTTAGAAGAAAATTGTTCCCTAATGATTATTGTTGACGACATTTTGACAAACATTACCTATTCTAGGTCTCGCTCCCCAGTTCTGGTCAAAACGTTTGGATTGTTGGCAAAGAAAGCAATTTTAAGACATAACTGCTGTATGACGCCATTTTTCGGACATTATAGAGACCGAATAATGGATTATCAATTAATTGAAACAATATTGTTCTCTGCAGATTAAATTAAATTACCAAGACGAGTCGAGACCGAGTCCAAAGAGGTTTGAGTCCAAGCGGCTGGTAACCATGGTCAAAGACAATGTTAATGCTCATTCTAGATGGATTTTGAATGAAACTAACACCAATTTTCTGTGGTTCAGTGGTTTTGTTTTGAAGGAGGAAGTTACTTCAGGAAAAAAACACATATTGCTGGACTTAGTTAAGATAAACTAGAATATTTGGCGAGACCGAAGGCCAAGTCCAAGTACCAACGAGTCTGAGACAACAGAAAAGAGCCCTGATCTCAGGTGATATCGAGTGACAAAGTCTGTGTAGGACTTTCACTCAGGAGACCACGGATTGTTTCCTGTGTGAAACCAAAAGTCAATGTTGGCTTATTTAAAGTTTATAACGTAACATATGTGACTTGTTGCTACAGTAAAGGCAACAAGACTTGCAAGTGATATAACGGAAGGAAGTGAGCATAGCAGCAAACGACTTCATCAAGAGGGCACGCACAAAAGGATCGTCTAATTTTTCAACTTCATCTCATCTGTTCACTCACATACACAGATATTTCTTGTTTTATAAAACCACCTGAGCAAGAGCGGACAAACCCATAGCCATAGGGTATTCCGGTATTCTTTATTTGAATGACGAAGGCAGATGACCGCCACCTGCTGGTATACGAAGTTATTACCTCTCTCGCACTGTATGCGTAAGTAGTAGTTTGCTTTAGTCGTTGCAGTGCCAAGACAATTGGCTTTCGTCTTTTTATGTCGGTTTGGTGTGAAACTGCAATGTTTCACAGCATTAACCACGTGTTTAAAAGACGTCTCATACAGACGCTAAAGGGGACAAAGCAGCCACATTAAGAACAATACAATATGGCCTTTTCTCTGCACCACCCTCAGGACAAACTTTACAAGTCGCCTGTATTTTTCATTCCTCCAACAGTTTTGTTTTAAATTAGCATTCAGTTAAAATAAAACTTATTAATGGACTTGGACTGAAGTTTTTTAGGCTGGTGGTGGCTCAGCTTTCAGAGTGCAGTCTATTGTAAAGGCGGAGAGGGTCACACCTTCATCAAAGAACCATCCAGAACAATAACAGCCTCATCTGTTCTCCGCCGCTCTTTCCAAACAATTACTTAAGTGATTTTTAAGCACAAAAAAAAAAAGGAACAATAGTTACTTAAATTTATCGTCTTGTTTTAAGCCTAAAATCTGCCGGCTGCAGCCTCCTGAGTGCCCTTTGGAATTAAAGAGCTGACTAAGACTTAATGCAACACAAGAAAAACCCAGAATCATCTCGACCTTTTCTGCTCTCCTCTTTCATCACAACCAATTACTTAGCTGGACCCAAGTTCGACCAATAGGGCCGCCTGAAGGCCGACAGCAACCAAAGCTGCTTGAAGAACCGGCATGGGGGGGGGGACTCCGACTCTCCATTGAAACCCACTGATGAGATTATTTTAGCGTTAACAGCTCTGATTCAGTTGTCAGGGATTTCTGTAACAGGCGCTTTTAATTACAGATCTAATTTATGGTTCAAATGAAAGTCCTGAGTGAAAGAAAGAAGACTTTTCTGCAGAGAAGATACAACGTTACTGCAGCCGGTTAGAGCCGCGGTTCCCAAGCTTTTTTATTTATCATATTCTGACTTTTTTACATTCATTTATACATTTCTTTTGCTACATTTCTGATTACTTTTTGCCATTTTAACCATTTATCCATTACTTTTAGCTAACTATTAAGACTTCTCTGCTAACTTACTCACTAGGTAGTCTTCAATCAATACCTGCTGTTCAGGTGTTACAGCAGAATCAATACGTTGATATAGCTCAATTTTTTACTGTAATTTCTTTTTTTTCAAATCTCTTCATTTAATATTAAAAGTTCATCAGCGACTCTGATACAGTTTTGTACAGTATTGTTTTGTCTCATACAGGCGTGACGGTGCAGAACGAGCAGGGGGCGGACAGCAAAAGACAAATGTAGGTCACAGTGGGTGGATGGGTGAGACAAGACTTTCACACAGGAGACCAGGGATTGGTCAATCAATCATTATTGATCGTTTTAAGGAAGTTGTTATTTTAACGATATTTTGGTGCTTAAACCAAACCAACCTGCGACGTCACCTAAAATCTTTCAAAGCAAGCTTTATTTTGAAAGTCTAACCGGACTTATTATTGTGCTTAACGTGAAAACTACACAGTAGACTGATAAAAGAAAGTTTGGAAAATCTCTTAATGGGACTTTTTTTTGGACTTTATACATATTTTTTCCCTTTAAGCCATTATTGATTATAGATTCCACCTGCAGCTTTTCCCGCTTCGACAAATCAAAATGTCTGCCGAGCCCTGTGACCCAGACCCTTCAGGGCCCCAAAGGCTCATTGTGCGTCTGTTGTTCTGTGATCAATTACACGTTTTTAAGAATGTGCATCAAATGATCAGATCTGTCTCTGTCAAACGTTACATGGAGAATATTCCCAAATATCTGTGTTTAAATATATTACAAACAAAGATCATTCTTTACCTGCTGCCATGTACCAAACACTAAAGTAAAATATATTGGACTGAAATATTAAATAAAGTGGAACTGTTGATAATCCCAGAGACATATGTGGTTATTTATTCTAGTACTGTTAAGTTATATGAAAAACTGTCACTCACATAAGCTAAAGCTGCAAAAACCCATAAAACTAACACATAAAACTATAAAAATGCCCAAAAGTGCTTAAAATATTAAAGAAGTCTAAATAATAAGTAGTTGCAGCCCTGTCCCTACATCCTCCATGTGCTCCATGTTACAGTTTAAAGACAAACTTAAAAGGCTGCAGCCTCTGATCTGAGGCCAGTGAACAACCTCCTGCTCTTCACATCAGTGCAGCTAGTGCATGTGTGACCTCTCAAACACAGGAACATAAAACAGTGCACCGACTCCAACCAACAGCTCTCCAATTGGCGCTGAACCCCCCCAAGAGAGCCGCTCAACAGCCCCAGTGGCACAAACACCGCGACAGACACAAACACATTTCTGGAACAGTCTTCTAGACCTTACCTCCCCCCACCCACCCACCCACCCTCCCTGCCACCAAGTCCACAGACCCGACTCTCATTCCGGCCAATTACTCCGCTCACTTTTCTGGGAAGACAAAAGGAAAGAAATCAATGTAATCAAGAGGAGAGAGCGCGTATTTCTCCGGCCGGTGCCAAGTCCGGCGCGGTTGATAGCGCAGATGGAGAGAGGAGAAACATGAGCAAACATCCAGCTGATGAATACTGACATTAAGATGATGAATAACTGAGCAGCTATTTATTATTCACCCCAGTAGATCTCTCATTTTACTTCACAACACTTTGTTCCAATAAACACAACAGCAGCTGCGTTACATAATGATGGAGCACACATCAACGCAGGTTATTCGTTTCAACTGCGACTCCCTCCTCGAACACACAATAACTGGGCCTAATAACAATAATAACAATAATAATATGAGGAGGAGACGGAGCTGAGGGTTCATTAAGGAGCAGATGGATGCAGCTTTATTGGCTGAGCGGCTGTCAATCCTCATCAACACACAAACCGGCGAGTTAATGACCGAAATAAAACTTTTAATCTTCAAATAAAAACTCGGTGTTTGTTCAGCAGCGCCGCTATTTCGGTCTCACATCATTCCTGGAGATCATTTACATAATTGAATGTGGGAAAGTCAAACTCACAGTAATGGAGTGGGAATAAAACGGTGCGTAAACTGTGACTCTCTGTGAGCAAACCACCGCCGATAGGAGCACAAACTCAACTATATTTCACTAAAAGCTGCAATAAGCGCTCCTTCCAGTGGAAACACTCCCTCCTATATATAACTTACATACTTATTATAATAATGCAATGCGCCATGAACACTCCTAGCCTTAGAGAGGGGTGTGAACTCCATCCCCGCGATATAAATGCGGGTATAAAGTGAGATTATGTGCGTTTATCCTCCACCAACCCTCCGTGGTTGCACTGAGACAGAAACACTGTATTCCAGCAGGGTCCGGGTCCGAGCCTCCTGGTGAAACCGAACCCCCCAAAAAACAAGCGAGCCTCGCTCCGACGCGCGGACTCACCACTTGAACGCCGGACGATGTTCTCCAGAAAAGTGTTCTGCGGTGCCACAAGCCCTCTCTTTCCCCCGGGCATCCTGCTGCGGGCGGGCGGAGCTGGTGTCGGTCAGGGTCTGTGGCGGTGTGTCTGCTGCTCGGAGGTCGGTACTGACGCTGGCTCTCAGTCGGACCGATGGAGAAGCTCATTGTAACCGTGCGCTCTGGCTGCTCGGGGCGCACTGAGCCACGGTGGCGGCGCTGCATCCCGCTGCCCGACCGGAGCGCCAGGACGCATGCGTGGCCCCGCTGCTGTGGGCTCGGTCCTCAAAATTATGACGATGATGTTTGTGTTTACTGTTTGTGTGATGAATCACGTGTAGTGTCAGTCAAAGTGTTTAACAAATTGACATTAATCGACCTGTATCTTTAAATATAACCGAATATATAATCAGTTTTCTCAGTTTAGATTTATTATAACTGATCAATGTAATACTGACTCTAATTTCCTGCTACCACTTAATAACATTAAACTAACAAGAATACATTCTAAGTCTCCCGTTATAAAGGATTTATACATTTTATTAGACTTTATTAATGTTAACAAATGCTTTATAATGTTATAATACATTCATGATTTGACCATTTGGGTTGCCAGGTTGTGAAAAATCCCTTACAGAGGAGAGAACATGAATAAATATCTCACTTTCTGGAGAATAAAGGGTGATAAATGATTACAGTTATTATTGAAGTAATTAATAAAAAGGTTTCTACAACAATCTATTTCGTCTGTAGTTGTAAATAATAATAATAAATAGCTGAGCTGAAGAGGCGGTGCAACAATGTGAAAATAGAGAAAAATAGTAAATTTGAATATTTGAGGTTTTTAAAGGTAGTTGTGTGTCGGAGCTTTCCTGGCGAAGTCAGGTTGTGAGGTTGCCAGGCAACCAGCAGAGATTGTTTACATCTTCGTTTGAACTGATTAAAACAAACTAACATGTTCATTTGTGAGCTTTAAAAAAGGTTTTTGGAACTTTACCAGAGCTATGCTAGCTGTTTCCCCCTGCTTCCAGTCTTTGTGCTAAGCTAGGCTAACCACAGCCTGACTCCAGCTTAATGCTCGGACATAAAGTGACAACAATATTTCCATGTGGCTCTATGAGACAAAGTAAACAAATAAATAAATAAAAGAATATAAAACTATTCCTTTACGAAATAAACCATCATCTGTCAGAGAAATCGAGAACCATAAATTAAGATTCAGTGAAGTGACTAATGACAAACAATGTGCGTCGTCTTACCATGAAACAGTGCAAACAGTGTCTCCCTCTGCAGGCGTCCCTCAGGAATGCTCATTAGCTTTTATGCATGATTGATGGGGCCCCTGGGAGCCAAAGGCCCCCGCCCGGAGCTACAGTAGGCGCAGGGCAGGATTGTGCTGGCTGTTGGCGCCACATTTTTTTTTATTCACTGTATACGCGACCTTAAAGCTGCACTGAGGCTGCTCAGTTATCGACTGGAAGATTATAAAAAGGAGCAGCACAGTTATTTATAGATTTAAATAGTCTCACTTGCATTTAAGTTGGTAGGATTGGCTCTTTTATTACAGCCTGTAATGACTGGAGCACATTGAAGCACCCTGAATGTCTGAATGGTAATGTTACATAAGCAGGTAGAAGTTGAATTGCTATAACTTGAAACAGTTACCAACATTTCTGGCTTTTAATTCTGATTCCTCATTACTGATCATTAGTATGGACAGAAGTGGAGCTGTTCAACAAAATGCCTAATTTCCACTGTATGGTTCAGCTTGGCGCGGCTCGCTTGTCAGTACCTGGTTCTTTTTCTGGCATCACCTTGGTTGTAGACTGTAGATGAGTTTCTAAACTCTTCGCTCAATACAGACTGAGGACTTACTCACAGCTTTTGTTGCTAAAACCGAAACAAAACATAAAAAACAATTTCAGAACCAATCCAAAGTCTTTATGGTGGTGACATGCGGAAATCGTGTTCTTGTAAACGCCTGGTTCTTTCGAGATTAACTGCGCCCAGAAAGTGGACGAGATCAGGTGGCACCAACAGGAGTCATCCTTCAAAGAATATACAGGAAGTCACAGAAATATGTACATCCTTTAGGCTGCCTGTAGTTTTTAAACCATGTTAATGCTCTGGGTGTTCCAGTTGGTGGAGAGCAACTTGATCTTGTGAGTTTAAAGTGGCCAACCCGTGGAGCGAGTCGGCATCAAGTCAGACATAAATCTAACCGGCACACGTTGTGCAGAGGATCACCGGTTATCGATTCATTTGTGTGTCTTAAAAATCTCTCTCAGAGTAACAAAGTGATTCAGTGTATCTCCAGTTTGTTTCACTACAGAAGAGAATGAAGGGAGAGCGTCACTGCAGGTAAGGCGTGTTCTTGATATAAAGGATGTTCGTTTGTTAGCGGCTGTTTTGCATTTAGACGACGACCCAGACGATCGGTAGGCGCTGAGATCTCAGAGTTTCTGGTATCACAGGGTTCCCAATGGAGCTGATACTGAAAGGTTGGGTGAAACACTGCTGACCACCGATTGGTCACCTGCACAATGTGGGACCTCCTGCGTGCTCCTGTTGTGTCGCATTGATGTCACGGCAGTTTCACGCTGCGAGGCGATGACCTTCGGCCCAGAATCCCGCCTACGATAAGGAAGAACTGACTGGAAAATGAAACTCAGTCATCACAGCTTCATTTAAAACAATAATACTTCTGCAAACTGACAGATTTTGAGAGCAGAAATAATAACTGACTGCACGTCAAAGTCTTATTTGTGAATCTCTCTTCTCTTTCTGCACCTGTTAACACCTGCTGACCCCCATCCAGTGCCGTCAGGTAGTCTGAAGAAATCACCTTGGAGAAGATATTACATCATTGTGTCTGTGTGTGTGTGTGTTTGCCGTCAGTAAACGCGCACAGTTCCAAACGCCCCTTTGGGACACCTTTAATTGGCCCACTTGCATCATGGGGTATCAAACATATGTGACATCGCAGGTCGGACAGCTGCTGTCTGCTGTAACAGGCTCAGCTCTGCAGTTCTCTCTCTCTCTCTCTCTCTCTCTCTCTCTTCTCTCTCTGATGACAAATCTGCCGTTGGATTCAATAAATGACAAGAGTTGGCTTTGAGTGACAAAGGATGACACTCAAATCCAAAATCTGAGTCTCAAACTCTCCTTTCAGACCAGAAAGGTGTCTGTAGATATTATAGTCTGTTCCTACACAGAAGAACAGCAGCTCTTTCAGTCTAAAAACAGCAAACAAGCTGTCAAATGCTGCTGTTTGGTCAGTTTCCCTCCTCTGGTTTTTTCTGGACGTGCCCGTCTAGAATAACCTTTTCACGTGTCGTCACAGTCAGGTGATGTCAGATAAAGAGAGAGAAAGTCCACGTATGGAGGACGTTGGGGTGTATGGATGGTTCAAACAAACACAGGACGTCCAGAACACGTTTGTTCATGACTAAACTTACATTACAGCAGGTATATAACGTAACTTACGATCTTTTTCTAATCGCAATCCAGTAGTTTTTTGTGCGACCATTTCACAACATTAACAGCTTTATTTTTTTCCCCATCGAGAAAAACCTTCAGTGTCGTTCTTTGCTTGTTTTTGAAGAAATTAAGAAATTCTCTCCAACTCTGATATAACTGATGCTAGCAGCAGCTACGCTAATCTAATTAGCAGCAAACAAAAGCGTCTTCTCGCTGTCAGATGGATTCTCTCGGGCTCTTACAGGGACCCAACAGACAAAACAAAACATTTCTTGGGTAAAAGTTTGCACTCATATCCTGATAATAAAATACTGGAGCATTTCCCACATGAGTAGATACTGTGTGTGTGTGTGTGTGTGTGTGTGTGTGTGTGTGTGTGTGTGTGTGTGTGTTTTTGTGTTTTGGGAATTTTTCACACAACCAGAAGATGAGCATCATGGGTAACATATCTTGCGTTCAGCTCCATTACACAGGAGGCACTGAGGCTGCGTTTGCTTTTTAAAGCTAGAAAGTGTTTGTGAGTCAGAGAGTCACCACATACAGGAGAGAAAGTTCACTGGTGCTTTTCATTTTGGTGATTTAGGAATTTAATTTTGCTCTTTTGTTGCATTCGTCGAGAGTCTTTATGGACTAAATATAATAAAAAGTTGTCGTTTACAATCCCAACAAAGTACATCGGAGCTGAGTGAACTTCTGAGCTACACAAACTGCAGCACGTGTCGCAGACCGGCCGCAATGGACAGCGAGAAGAGTCTCCGCTGGGATTTGATGACTGTAATCACTCTAATTACACTGCATCACTAACCCCCAATTATACCCAATCAGCATTCAGCAGGCGGGCCGCCATTGTTCATGTGGAACAGGCACTCGCGGCCACCAGCCTCGGAGCGTGCCGCGCGCCAGCCGATGAGTCTGACAAATGTATTTCTGGATGCAACGGCTGCAAAGAGACGCGTGCAAATCTCCTCATCGACAAAACAAAACGCTCCGTTCCTAACGAGCAAGAAAACAACTGACACACAACAACAGTTTGTTTCTGAGCATTAGTTATTCCTAGCGATACTCATCGAGGAGAAACGAGTGAACGTCACACGGTGAGGGTGAGGCAGCAGTGGGACGACGCCAACGCCTCATCTGGGGGGGAGTGGGAAGAGTGTGAGGGGGAGGTAAAGGTATCGACCCCCCTCCAGCATTGATCAATGCACCGCCTACACATCTGGAGGGAGACATAGCTGCATCCCTCCTTATTGATCTCAGAATTAATTAGTCCGGCTTCCACCAGCGCTGCCGTTCCCCCAAAAAGGGAAGGGGATCGAATATCAAAGCAGTGAAACCACCGTAACCAGCCACCAACGCCACCCACTGCCCCCGCCAAACCGCCAACACCAGACCAAACTTTGGCTGCCCTGCTGACTCGCCAGAGGCTCCATCAAAGGTTGAATTAAAATAAAATAGTGGAGGACCGGTGGGGAGGGCGGTGTTTAACGTCTGATGGTAAAGCAGACTGAACAGGTTGTCCACTGCAGACACGTCTCAGTCTCAGTGGCGTTCCCAATCTGCTGCGTCTGGGGACGAGCCGGAGGTCTTAATTGCTGTATATGTCAATAATAAAGAAAGGATCAATACATTTGTTGGCTAAAGGCTCTTCTCCGTGTTCGATTAACCTGTTAGGAGATGTCAAGGCAAAAAACCTGCCTAT